CTGGAAATATGGGCAGGCTTTTTATGCATTCATATTATGGAAGAAAGTTACAGAAGCAAAAACATTTCGTAGCCTCATCAGGATTGGCACTTTCTTAATTTAAATATTCGCATATATTTCGTTGGGAATAATTTCTTTTATTTTTTTTTTGTTATAATTCAAATAATAAGAAAGTATGAAATATTTTGAAACTTGTACATGCCTTTGTCAGACATGATATGTTGATTGAATTTGAGGTAATTCTATTAAGAGCGTATGGAACCAAAACTGACTATACACTTTCTTCAACTTCTCATATCACCGTTTGAATATAGCTTACGCCTTCTCATCTGAGAACCGGTAGTGCATTAAACAATATAACCGGAATGGAATGTCATTGGGCACGGCAATGAAATAGTTTTCCATCAGCCTACATTATGTACGTAAAACAAGGAGAGTGTGGTTTACAGGTACATGTTTAGTGAGAGCATCTAGTAACGCCTAAGGCCGCGCCATAGCTCAATCGGTTAGTCGCTGGCTTCCCACCTCGGCAGCCCGGGTTCGATCCCGTGTCTGGTCAAGTGGTATTTGTGGTGAACAAAGTGGCGCTGGGGCGGGTTTTCTCCGAGTACTTCGGTTTCCCCTGCAAATCTTCATTCCACCAAATTCTCCATCATCATAATCACCCGGGGCAGGCTACCATAGGTCAATCATGGCTGCCGTGCCGAGTGGACCCAGGTGGACTCCACCCCCCCACTAAGCGAATTAAAAAAATAAATTAGTAACGCCTGGTAGATGGTTAAATTGACCCAAACGCGTCTATATCGGGAACACTAGACGCATTTTGGTTGTACTGCACAGTGAACAGTATTACGTAGGATTTCTGAAGGGTGGCAGCCCTTCGTATCGACTTTCTGTAGAATTCTGCTTGGTATTCGTAAGCCACGTTCGAGTACTGTACGAGTATAGCGCATGTAAGCGCCGGGCGATAAGAAGAAATGAATCTGACACCACGGAGAAACACACGAAATGAATGTGAAGTGTGGCATTACCCCTCCTCCACGCCTAATCCTTAATTCGGCTTGTTTGTCTCTGCCCTATATACTCTCTTCCTTCTTCCCTTTTTTCATTCCTTATTGCTTATTTTCCGCCTTTCTGGCTTCGGCTTCTACCGAGTTTTACAAGTAAATGTGGAATGGGTTTGATTCTCGCTGTAGGTAGGAATGTAAATTAAGCTGAATACACCGGGATACATTGCTTTTAAATTGAACGATCGAATTGAGACAGCTATATCAGACACTGCTACTGCTCATCTCCATGGTAACGTGTTTCAGGAAATATAATTATTCAGCTCCACAGAATACAGATGGAAGCTTATGAAATATTCCAGAGGAATTCTTCCAGACAGGCTTCCGGAACACAAAATTGTCATTGCAGTTTACCTCTCTATTAATATGCTGAAGTAAAGGATTGATGGATAGAATAATGATTCAGATACTAAAAGATACTAACTGTAATTATAATAGGAATTTTAATAATACAGTTGTAAATATGTACAGGACCTGTGAACATTCTGTACTGTTATATTTTGCCACCTACGAAAGTAAAACTTAACCCAATAATTTTGTCAGCAGACTACTGATATGATGTTTATTTCTAGATAATCAGAAAGTGTTATATATAGTATATGTAAGTGACTGTACTTGAAGTTACGGAGGGCGGAATTTCTCGCAATTTAGATTTCAAAATTTTGAGAGTTAGCTGTTGTATCAGACCATCTGCAGGAGTCTCAAAACCGCTGGTGGGTACATGAAAATGAAGATAACGGTAGAGAAGTGTAATAATATTGTCTCGTGTAGAGTGGTACACGTGACGAAAATGACGGGTTCTAATTCGGATGATTGGATTTATTGGCATTTCGTTTAGAAGATCTATTAATCAAACTTAATTATAATGCTACCGCCATTCCACACTCTTTCAGGGACCCCTGCACACTCACTAGGATTCTCCGTCTTCACTAATCTTCTCCTTGCAACGGATCTCAAGGTAAAACCTAGAACTTCAAATTATTATGAAGTTTTCTTGCCATTTCTTGTTCACTCACCCTGGAACCTCGGAACTCAACTAAAACTCATCTCAGCTGAGTCTGAGTCTGAGTCTCAGACTCAGTCCGACGGTCAGTCGGCCAGTCTGTCTTGGCATAAAGCACCCATTTGGGGCTTGCGACCAGATCTTTATTATTGTTTGATAGTTACGGTCTTCTTTTTGTGGGCGCCCTCTCTGACGAGAAGACGGGTCTGTCTTTTGTACATGCTGCTGGTCCTTGCAAGCGCAGCCTTTCTCGGGTCCGAGACCCTTGGTACTCGAGACCATATATTACTGTCTCAAATTTGAGACTTCCCTTTTCGTCGCCTCCTACGACTCGCAGGGTCACGGTGGAGGTATTCGGCCCCGCCTCCACACGGGCTGCAAGCGGACTCGCATTATATAGCCGTGGTACGGACAACGCAGAAAATACAGTTCTACCGGTGCTTGGCGCAGAGCACACAGAAAACAGAAGTCACGTGATTGCTACCGAGGTAGTTCATTGGCGTCCTGACTGCTACCTAGCAACGAGCTAAAATATTCTTCCACTGAGACACAATTTCCATTGTTGCGGGTGTTTGCGGAGCCGTTACCTGGCAATGCGTTGATCAAATCCGTTACAATAATAATAATAATAATAACAATAATAATAATACAGTATTTCATCCCACAGTATAGGCCTATGCGTCCTATTTGCAATTGCATTTCCATAACCTTGCTGGCATAAAAAGATTCCTTTATATCTGAGCTAAAGCGCGTACATCTATTTCTGTTATGAAGGTAATTCATAATTTACTCTGTGGGGGGGGGCATCTTAATTGGTGGCACTCCTGGTACTTGCGGTTGTCTCTGAAGCCGTCTGTCCGCCTAGAACTGGGAGTGAGTTGCGCAGTCAGCCCCACCTGGTACCCAACGCATTAATTACTTTTCGATTAAGATGCCGTGTTGCTGACCCTAGCTATATACAACAGACATTACCAAGAACCGAGTGATAGGTCTGTGTTTTCTTATCTAAGTGCAATCTGTTATGGTCAAAACAGATTTATGGCCGTTGCCTAATTATCGTTATTATCGTTAATAGGTAGAGCTTTCCCTGCAAGAGGCCCATAGGATTGTGAGACGTTTAGGGTCCCACATTATCTAGACAATCGGCTCGTAGATGGTGGTAAGGTTGTGAGCCATATCCACCGGCCGCCCTTTACCCCCAGGAAGATTCCTGGTATTCATTTCTGTTAGAGGCTGAGTCGACCCCAGGGCCATAGTGCAGCTGGAAGGATTAGGTCAATTGAAAAAAAAATCCGTCTCATCGGGACTCGAACCCGCGACTTTCCGGTTTGTAACATAGCGTCTCAACCAGCTACGCTACCGCGTGCCCCTTATGGTTAATAGTTTAAATATAAGTAACGAATGAAGTAACATATTTTGATGTAATCGTTGGTGGTATAAGAAGATGTGAAAAGGAGAGGAAATGTGTAGCAGAGAGGGAGAATTAACATTGAATATCATTAGGGCGTGTTCTGTAAGGGCGTCAAATATAGAGATCAGACTGTCACATCAGTTGTAACCTTTGCTGGTAGAGTCAAGTCAGGGTTGAAGTTTTGGGGGTTGGAGGACGGATGAGAGGAAGCAGGGAAAGTGCATGATTTATTTTGTAACAAGGCGATGGGAGTGCCAATGACGTCAGCAAATGGGGTTTGGGAGGAAGAATTGTAGGGTGTTACAAACAAGAAGCAGAAAACATTAGAGAGTATAGAAATATTGGTTAGGATTCTGGGAAACAGCTGGGTGATATATTGAGATAAAAAAGGAAGGAGCAGCCAGCTTCACGCTGCAGCCGCTCGACCCGGGGAGTAAGAGCACCATGTACCCATTGGATAGAAAGCTGGATGGACTGCAGACCCAGTTTGGGAGCTGTGAAGAGGAAATCTGTTCCTCGACTGTCCCGCCCAAATTCTCGTGATTGCACCGAGCTATCCCGACTCATACGCTCCGCCGTAGAGAATTTTGTTAATGTGTTAATTCTTATTCTACTGGATATTTCCCGTAATATCGGTTAAACAGCTATATTGGCCACATATTGCACAAAACCTGTTATATACCATAAGAGCACAAAGCTCAACTGTGTTCTCCTTTCCAAAGAAACGGTGAACTTCTTACCTAGCCACTAAGTGCTATTCTAGGCCGTGCCATAGCTCAAGCGGTTGGTCGCTGGTTTCCGACCGCAGCGGTCCGGATTCGATCCCGGGGGTCTGATCAAGTAGGATCTGTGGTGGACAAAGTGGCGCTGGGGCGGGTTTTCTCCGAGTACTTCGGTTTCCCCTGCTAATATTCATTCCACCAAATTCTCCATCATCATAATCACCCGGGGCAGGCTACAATAGGCCAATCAGTGGCCGCCGTGCCGAGTGGACCCATTTGGACTCCACCCCCGACTATGCGAATTAGAAAAAGGTGCTATTCTAAGGCCTTGCCGTAGTTCGGGCGTTTAGTCGCTGACTTCCAAAAGCAGCGGCCAGAGTTCGAGCCCGAATCAGGACTTGTGGGATTTTTTGTGGACAAAGTGGCACTGGGGAAGGTTTTCTCCTAGTACTTCGGTTTCCACTGCCAACCATTATTCCACCAACTGCTCCACAATTACAATCATATATCATCCGGGGCTAGTACAATAGGCCAATAGTGGCCGCAGGACCAAGTGGGCTCAGTCTCACCCCACGAATAATAACATAAAGAACTGCTATTCCACGAGAAATTGTAAGGAACGGACATAAAGCTTGGGGGTGGGGGAGAAACGTCATGCAACAATAGATTCCAGTTAGAAGGGCAACATTTTGAAGGCGTCTCTCCTCTAAGTGCTCCCTACTGTCGTCGTGTCTGTTTAGAAACTTGTCACTTTGTGAGCCCCACCCAGTAGATTCAGACGTGAGACGAACACTCACCTACCACCTCCAAGTAGCCCACTTGACTCTTCATGGGATCCGTGTTGATCTGGCACATGTACCAGCCTCGGTCAGACTCCTTCATGTCTCTGATATGCAGATACCACGTTCTGTGATCACTGTGTGTCACACCAATGCGATGATTTTTGGTGATCACGTGACTCGCGATGGTCAGAATGGTTTGTGTATCGACTCGGAGCCATGCCACCTGCAATAAACAAATCGTTATAAGAGACGTCTTGAGCCATTAAACTTCTTATTGCATGAATAAAAAGTAAGGTCTATCAAACGTAAGAACTTTAAGAGAATATAAAAGTGTGCCTCTATGTATGTTTCGGCCACTACTTGCCACCACCATAAGTCGCAGCCAACGCTATCAGGAAGTAAGGTATGCAAACGTATGTAAGGTAAGCAGTCTACACAACAATGTTCAGTATTTAAAAAAAACAAAGAAGACACTACTGCATCAACAATTATTTGTATTGTGTTTTTACAGACGCAACATATTTCGACCCTTACACCGGGTCATCATCAGGCGTACAATGCTCCAGTTTGAAATGTTGAATAGCATTAATTATATCTAATTCTTCAAATAAGGATCCTTATTATCTCTTGAATTTATTTAACCGCATAAATTCATATATTAAGACTTGGTCAAAATTTTAAAACTGAAAATCCTTAGATAATAAAATTTAAACTTAAAGATATAAAGATTAAAATTAGAAACTAAAGATTAAAACATGGGAGTTAAAATTGTGATTTTGTAGTAAAACTCTGCAACCGCTACGCGTTGACCTGGTTTTATGCCGGTAGAAGCGACTGTAGCGTGGGGCGCCCGCGTAACGGAATCCGTCATGCAGTCATGACCTTAGTAATGTCTTACGGAGCTTATGCTCATTATTCAGTATGTAATATATATTATTTTGTTCTAATGAATGGCATATGTACCGGCTGCTCCCAGCGCTGATGCTGTGGCTATGTTGTAGCGGTTCGGTTTAGACTACTAGTTGACTAAATATTGTTGTGTAGACTGCATAACTTATGTACTTTTGTATATATGTTATTTATGACACACTATTAAGACTATAAAGAAACACTTTATATATGTTTTGGAACGTAATTTATCACAAGGGGACTTCTACAGCATTTGAATTGGAGGTTACGTAGAAAAGTAAAGTTGTCCCTGTGCTTAACTAATTCAGCACTATGCTATGGAAGTATTTGAGGGCGTGGATATAATATGGATGCATGTATTCTTGACCTCGAAAGTAGTTGAAGGGGAGTAGTGAGCTTCATGGAGAGGCCGCTTTAACCTAAAGGAAAGGGACCCCGTCACCCTTTGGATAGGATGGGTGGGCCCGATAGCCTGTCTGGACGACGTGGATAAGAGAAAAACTTTCCCTTACTGGGACTCGAACTCCGATCTCTCGGCCGTGCAGCCCGTAGCCAGTCACTATACCGACTGCGCTGTCCATAAGTGGAGATAAATATTAATGTAATTAAAATAAATTGTGTCTGTTAAAAAGCAAACTAATTTCAACTGAATACTTAAAGGATATCAGTTATTTTATTATCGTAAGAAAACTTACGAAAACCTGCTGAGATCTCCGGTTGCACCGTCTCGGAACCGTGATCACAAAGCACGACTGAGGGCTAACAAAATATGCCTCTCGCATATCGGGAGTCAAAAAGCCGAAGAGTGGGTCTATGTGAAGAGATTTCTCAATTTTTTGACGAAATATCGTTGACAGACGCAAATGGAAGTAATGAAAGTACAGCAAGAAACATTGAATCAATATAAACTAAAGAACAAGTATATTTTTGGACATTTTTCTATGTTTTAAAAACAAAAGAATGAATTTTTTTAGTCCACTTGGTATACGTAGACCACTGTTTGGTCTATTGTACCAACCCCGAATGATAGATGATGTTGAGTGTGGAGCAATCGGTGAAATGAGAATTGGCATGGGAAACTGAAGTACTCGGAGAAAACCTGTCCCAGTGCCACTTTGTGCACCAAAATTCTCACACGATCTGACCTGGGCTCGAACACGGACCGCCGCGGTGGGAAACAGATGATTAACCACCTGAACTGTGCCATGGCTGGAGAATGGATTTAAATATTAAGGAAGAATGTATGAATGCAAGGAGGTATATGTAATTTTATGAGCCAACAAAACTTTTATTTTATATGCCCACATTTGTATTTTGTTCCTACATTTCTTTCCATATATAATTAAGCTACGGATTAAGCTCTTCGCCTGAAATGCAGTGGAGCCAGTATATCTCTGTAAAGTTGCTGGCTACGAGGTTGGCAGTAAGTGTTTCATTCGTTGGGGGCGGAGGGATATTTCTGTGTGTTAGTACATCGATACCGGCTATGGGGAGCTCCTAACGTCTTATCCAACTTGAAACGAATGCTATTCCTCTTGGGAAAAAGTAGCGTAAGCGTGAACCTTGCCACTGACCCCATCTAATTCCATTTGTCAAGACTGCCCGCAGCTACCCTTCTGCGTGTGCAGGTACCGAGTGGAACCTTGCACACCACAGTTCTTCCTGACTGGAATGAAACAGGAACGTAATTTGTGAGAGGCCCAACACTACCCGTAAGTCCAAATGAGCCGTCCTTATCAACCAAACAAACGTCTATTATCTTGTCAAACATGGCACTGAAGAGTATAGTTGTACATATTAAGAGACTTTTTTAAAGCCGAAAAGAGACACTTCCTATTCTCTACTCTTTCAAAGACACTAAAAGTGTGCATTCAGACACCATCGAGACAACACCAACTCTTAACCGTCCATTACACCCGGGAGTCAATAAAAAACGACTTTAAAGCGTTAGCTAAAGTGAAACCTGTCAAAAGTTTTCGCTTCAATGTCAGTCTTCCTTCGAACTCCGCAACGGACCTATTGTTCATAATATTAAAACCGTTCTCTTGTAGTTATGACGTTGCATTACGTTTAAAGAACAGCATACGGAGACTAATTGATCTTAATATTTCATTTCGTCTCTCCTTGGAAGTAGCATATCCAATTATCGTAACAATGGAGCAAAGACAATTACTGATGTTGACATTGTCTGTCTTATATTGTGCATTCGAAAGACGTCCCAACGTTCGTACGTATGTTTCAGTCTCCAATTACAAAAGAAACATTGCGCTTCTGTAATTGTACCTAATTTAATTAGCATAAAGTCATGCTGCTTAGGTAACAGTACGTCTGACATCCTCTCTATTCTGTAACGCTCCTCGTGTCATTAAAGTTGTGAAATACCTTCCGCTGCAAAATTCTGCCAGCATCGACACGTGCGCCTTGCAGGTGATAACCCAGATCAGGTGACCCAGAAAATTGTGCTGGAAATGTAAGTAAAATATAGAGCGTCATTTGGTTTAAATTACAATACGCAATTGACGACAGTGAGATTAGACTAGTATTCCGTTCTGAATTAATTAATTTTCATTCAAACAGAATTTTAGGTCTCTAAACTGTCTTAAACATTTCAGCCACTGTCACTGTGTGCAGAACGAATTATAATCAGGGACATGAACTGTGGTAAGCATTGTACGTAGCCCATGCACGAACAAAATAAGGGATTTACGGCCGTAAGCTCATTATACCATGTGCCAGCTGAACAGTTTCATCGTTCAACTACACTGAGTTTTCTATATAGCAAACAGTGAAGACTTGAAGTGAATTTATGGGCTAATATGTGTCGGTCCGGCATGACGGGACGGACTTCGGGTACTTTCTGGTCCACTCTCGTAAAAAGATATAACTCGCTGGACTAGTATATGCAAGTTTCATGAAGGTAGAAACAAGTAACTTCGGGAAGGAATCAGCAAACTTACAGTTCATCGACAAGAGTGTAAGGAGACTGGAAGTATATTATGTTGCACTTTAATACAAATTTGTTTATGTGTAGTAGAGTCCTTCTTGATGATCTGGTACTCGTTCTGCCAGTCCAAATGTTTCTCGCCTTTATGAAATCCGAAGATTCAATGCGGTGTTCAGAAAACTCACCAATGACCCCAGTCCGCCTCCATACATCGTATTTCACATAAGATAAATTTTAATATTATCTCGCTCTACATATGTATTTATATATATTAGGGAAAGATACAAAAATACATAATATACTCCAAACATAAAGGTTAACGACTGTATTATTTGTGCATGATATTAATTTTAGTAGGCTTAAAATGTTTTAAATTAACAAACTTGCATTGTCATTTATATGCATGTTCTCCAACACGTATTTCACGGTTATCGTCCAGTGTCGCTTTTATGCTATGCCTCTTCTAGTGATCCATCTGCAGTCCCACCACGAGAGGTGAGTTCAGCCCCACAAGAGCAGAGTGAAACCATTTTCAACAATTCCGTTTAATTCGTTAACGATGATAATTATAAATATGCAGATAATAACACAGAATATTATTCCTATTGTCAAACCGTAATTAGAATTAGAGATTTTTTATTTACCGCCTATATTGGAGCTGATTAATAAATTTAAACTAGTAATCAGAGACTGCATCCGACAGACATCAATTTTTTCGCTTATCGCTTTCGCAATGTCGAAATGAATGAACGCCAGTCGACAACATGCCGTTGTTATGATGACCCTCTTTGTATAATCAGATTCAAAACAATTAATCTCATAGGTGTGTATGTTGCAGTCCTAATGTTAGGGAAGTGATAATTGAAGTCAAATATGAATACAAAATGAAATTCCAATTAAGTACACACCTCGAAAAATAATGTGTTATTAAATGTTGCTTTGTTGTAGTTACTGCTGTCGGTCTGTCATGATTCCTCTCTTCTTTATTGAATACATATATATTCAATCCCTGCCAGTTCAACTGGTAATGCATTGCATATTTGACGTGTGCATGAGGTAGCGATGTTTTGTTCATTATTATTTCAGAATTGCGGTGGAGATAAGCTGTAAATACACTGAAGGAGAAATGATATTATCCATATAATAAACTTACTTTATTAATTCAAAGATTGTTGTGTTACGTAAGTTGGTTTTAAGGTGTTCATAATTCTGCACCGTCTGCTAAGATTCACTTTCTCATCATAACAAAAAAGAAAAAAAAAACAAACAAACTCCGTGCTTCTAGTCCTCAAGCGAACTATACCCACCGAGCGACCGCCGCTTGTCAAATAAGTTAGTGCCAAATTTTGGCGTGTCGCGTGGTCAGCGCA